TAGTATATGTATATGTATAATATATATAAATATATCTACATATATATGTATATATATATATATATATATATGTGTGTGTGTGTGTGTGTATGTGTTCATTAATATATATATATAAATATTTGTATATATATACATGTTCTTATATTTATATAGATGTATGTATATGTATATATATATATTGCGGGCTGTGTTAGTGCCCTGTCCTGCGTTGTGGCAGTAGTTGTGCGTATCAAAACGTTTGCTGTATACATATGTGTGTTAGTGTCCGAGGATGTAGACGCACATGGCGAATGTCCTACAATTTTGCAACCTGATTTTATGATTATAAGCCATGTAGGAGAATAAGTTTACCTCCTCGTCAACTACGTATGACTGTTTAACAAATGATTTTATCTACTCATTAGTTTCGAATGACTGTCTGACGAGTCTCAGAGTGTCGATTTCTCGTTTTAAGGTGCCATTCGCTCTCGGCTACAAGTGAAATCGTGAGTGTGCTGGAAAGTTGCGAATGGGACCACGCTTTTGTGACCTTAGACTAACTGTGCATATGCGGATACCCACTTGATGTACACCAGCGTCTAGTGTAACTGAGCCTAGTCTGGATGATCTCAAGAAGCAGATACAGAAAGACGCGTGGATGTACGATCCGATTGACACGCTGCTTGGCCTTAAATAGTGGAATGCAATACATACACCACAAGACCGTACTGCCGGACTCAAATCCCCCTTACAGTGTGTGTAGGATAAGCTAATATTCGTCGGCCGTCACTGAGATAATAGGTGAACGAAACATTGTCGAGGCGTTGAATTGCGCTATATATCAAGTGTATGTTCTGGTGACACGATTTATACCTACAAACACTGTACACTTGTACCTACATACACTCTATACTTGTACCTACATACACTCTACACTTGTACCTACATACACTCAATACTTGTACCTACATACACTCTACACTTGTACCAGAGTGATGTTATGAACGGATACTGGCGGGTAAGGGTGACATGGAAGCTTACAAGGTTATGTAACCAAACTACCCCGCGAGTCGCTCTGGCATATCGTCACCCTAATAACAGAGCAGCAATATTTGCCACTCAATGCCAGCCTATACCTATATAGAGTGCTTGTACTACACACTATACTATACCTATACAGAGTGCTTGTACTACACACTATACTAAACTCATACATAGTGCTTGTAATACACACTATAATATACCTATACAGAGTGCTTGTACTACACACTATACACGGCTAACGCGAGGAGTGGAAGCGTACCAAGACGCAATCCACCACCACCACCACAACCACATCCGCAGCTCAGAATAGATGTAGTAACCTTTCAGGTGCTCGCAATAGATATAGTAGCCTTTCAGGCGCTCAGAATAGATATAGTAGCCTTTCAGGCGTTCGGAATAGATATAGTAGCAGCCTTTCATGTCAAACCATCCATGTCGAGTTGGATGGCCGGGGCAAGGGGCCATATGTATTGCAATACTTATCACACCATCGAGACTTGTACTGGAAGTGGGGTTGGGAGGTGATTGGGCATGGTGAGTCAAGAGTCTGAGGACCATACCAGGAGCGTTAATACGTTTGCAAGGGGGCGGTATAGGTCCCGGCGAAGCGTTTAACGGTACAGTCCGTTCCGCTTCACTGAGAAGTTATAGAGACAACTCGAGTCGCGTTTAGCAGCCGGGGCGACGGGCGATATTTACGCCACTACGGGTAGTTCATACTAGCGAGATTGGCTCTGAAAGAATTGAGTGGCCAGTATTCGGCTCAAATGAGTGGGAGAGACCCAGTGAGAGACCCACGCATCCCAGTCTGCCTGGTTGTATTCTGTCTGTCCTCAGATACTCTACTTCCTGTTCAACACTCAATAAACCGCTACATGCACTCTATTTTCTCTCTCAAATCCTCGCATAAGTACGTACGATCTTCACATGGCCAGCGTGCTACCTGTTTGTGCTTGTGCGGTGATATGGCTAGGAAGTGCTGTGTGTGCTGTGATAGAGATGCATCTTGCCCAGCTCCTGCCACTCAGGCTATTTGCCACTGTAGTTTCTCTCACAACCCATCATGTAACGCCCATTGCTATGTACATAAGTACGTATAAGTACGTACTATCTTCACAACCTGTATGCCACCTGTTTGTGCTTGTGCGGTTATAGGGCTAGGAAGTGCTGTGAGTGCTGTGATAGAGATGCACCTTTCCACATACAAAGCTGGCAACACAATTTACGTCCTACGCGGATCAAGAGACCGCACCTCCATAACTACGAGATCCTGTAACCAACCCAACCGAATCCTCTAATTTTTGGAATAGGATCGATATCCTGGGAATACAAGGCTCGAATTTATTTGGAATAGGATTAATATTACCTGGAAATGTAAAGCTGGCAGGCCATTTGGAGAGTGAAAATGGATCTCACGCCCCCGAAAAATTCGAGCATAGTTCTGGCGATACAAGACTTGTTATGTCAATACAACAAAATAAACATCTTATTCAACCTCGTATTATGAATCTACTAATTTTATTGATGCACTATAAATGGCGTATGTGATAACAATCTAATGACGGTATGTAGCATAATCGATCGAGCATTAGTATCCATTTTTGTATGGCTTTCTCTGTATGTATTTACAGCATAAGGCCTGAGACCACTCTTGATGTAAACCATGACCTTGGTCAAGCGCAGTGTTCTGACTTCTGACCCTACCTGTGCAAGTCTGATTGTAAGAGTATAAATGTATTACAAATGTATTACATAATGGACTCATACATATATAGTTGATATACATACCCGGCTTTTCCAACTGTCCTGGCCCTGCTCCTACACCAATGGAAACTGATGGATATCTAAATCAGTACTTATATTACTCACAGTATCCTTACAAGTATCTAAATGTCTTATAAACCAATTATAACACATATAAATACAATAAATAACATCGAAATCAGTACTTATATTACTCATAGTATCCTTACAAGTATCTAAATGTCTTATAAACCAATTATAACACTTATAAATACAATAAATAACATCGAAATCAGTACTTATATTACTCATAGTATCCTTACAAGTACCTTTATGTCTTATAAACTAATTATATCACTTATAAATACAAACAATAACAGATTATCAGTGGCTAAAAAGACATTGCAATCCTCTTTCGGTCGCTCGCCGCCAAGTGCCGCCAAAGTTATTTCTGAAATTTAATTGATGTATCACAATAAAATGCCACAGATATTACATATTCGCACATGATTTTGATCCGATTTGAACAGTGAACACTGAACACTGAACTCTGAACACTTCTTGTCACCGGGACTGGGGACTGGGCCAGGGCCACAGGGGTAAATATATTATGTTTTTTGATAATAAAAATAAATATAAAGAATAACACTGTAGTAAGGAGTAGCATTTAGATGGTGATTGCTATCTTTGACCGGGCTTTAAAAACACGCAGCAGGAAATTTAGGCAGATATATCTGTTAGAAAACCTATTTTATGTAGAGGTGAACACTGAATACTGGGCGTAGTAGTACGGGTAGACGGTGTCTTCTATGTCTAATTAATACGGCGGTGAGTATCATAGGCAACAATAATTGCTAGATTAACTATTGCGTCACAGAATATTGTGCTACCATATAAACCCCCTTTTAATATTGTAACCGAACGTCATTGAATCTACGCATAATGAGTGTAGTAGTCTTTGTGTTAGCCGCAATTTTACTGGGCCTGGTATATATATTCTACCAGTACAACCACGATCATACCGTACAAGATTGTGATCGACATAGTGTGCTTATTGCAGCAATCAACGATGCCGATGCCAAGCTACGATTGTCAACCGTTGACTTGGCAGAAGCATTGCGCATTCGCACAGTCACATCTGTAGAGATGGTGAATCTGTATATAAAACAGGTAGAGACTTGCAATCCGTATATCAATGCTGTGTGCAGTAAACGTTACGAAGGCGCCAGGGCCGAGGCCCGGCTTGCTGACGAGCGTCTAGACACCGCAGTCAAAGATCCATCCTTACGCGACACTTTACCTGCGTTTCTAGGTGTGCCTTATATAGTAAAGGAATTACACGAGTACCCAGGTATGTCATACACGTGTGGCATACCAGGCCGTGAAGGTATGGTCGGCCAGAAGATGCATCCCGTGCTGAAACGCATGGAGACCGCAGGCGGCATTGCATTGGTATCGGGTAATGTCAGTGAAGGCGCCATGTGGGCCGAGAGCTTTAATCCTATATACGGGTACACGCACAACCCGTATGATCTGACTAGAACGGTTGGGGGTAGTAGTGGGGGTAATTCGGCGTTAGTTACGGCGCTGTGTGGCAGCTTTTCGATCACTGCTGACGTGGGAGGGAGCACGCGTATTCCTGCCATGTACAACGGAGTCTTTGGACACAAACCTAGGTATATGGGTGTCAATGTAGTCTGTAAATGGGGTCTGTAAATGGGTGTTAATGTAGTCTGTGAGTGGGAATGTTGATGTAGTCTGTAAGTGGGAGTGTTAATGTAGTCTGTAAATGGGAGTTTTTATGTTGTCTGTGGATTATGAGTCTTTATGTATTTACAATCGAGTCCCAAGTTATATACTATTTTAAAATATAATGACGCTCATGTTGGACACAAACCTGGGTAAGTGGGAGTTCAAATATAGTCTGTGGATTAAGAGTCTTTATGTATTTGCAATCGTATATGTATTTATATATATATGTCAAATATATATATATGTTAAATATATATATATATATATATATATATATATATATATATATATATATATATATATATATATATATATATATATATATATATATATATATATTATTATATATATTATTATGTCGTATATATATATATATGCATAGTAATTATCAGGCTGCTTAGGAGTGCATATATCTGTTTTTTTCTGTGTAATTCAGCGTCTCGAATGGCACATTTAGTCTTGCAATATACAGTTGGCCTAAAAATTAACCACTTACTGCATGCTTATATTTCAATAGCGTTGTTTGCTGTAAACGGATAGCATAAGTATACAGTCACGTACGAGAGCTTTGTAATTTCATTGAGCATGCCTACCTGATCGTATACAGCGCCTTATCCTTAATCATACTTCAATGTTCTTTTAAGTACAGTTGTTTATGTGAATAGTAAAGTACAGTTGTTAATGTGGATACTAAAGTACAGTTCCTTATGTGGATATTAGCGTACAGTTGTTTATGTGGATATTTACTTTATAGTTGCACATTATTGTATGAACCTGACTAGACCATTGCATCGGCTGATTTCGGCACGCGTCTGTTTAGCTCATGCCAATCGTATGATATAGTTTCTAACATCAGGACATTCTATATATAAAGTATCACTAGTCAGATCATATGTACCGAAACTCCTCTGGTGCGATTGGTTACTACACCTGCCATACAAATACTTCCCATCCTTCAGCTTCATCTCTCGCACCCCACTATATATGGTGTACCATTCCATGGTATAAATGTTTATTTGTCGTTGTTTGGTCGCTGGTGTAAATGTTTATTTGCCATTGTTTGGTCGAATCCAAAGTAGACTATATATGTAGGTTTCTTGCTTTGCTTCGAAGTACAGGCCATGTCCTTCTATCACATGCATGTACTCATGCTTGTCACTTGTGCTTTATATCCTCCCATGACGTGCGTGTACTCATATGTGTTACTTGTGCTCGTACAGTGGTGGCGCCATTCCAAATGCGCGTAGCTGGCCGCCATGCCACGGCAAAGTAGAGCGCTACTGTCAACTGGGCCCCACCACAAGATATGCCAAAGATCTCATGCCCTTACTCAGGATTATGAGTCATCCTCTGGACATCAGTACCGAACTACCCGACGCAGACGCCGAGGAGAGGGCGTACCAGGAGGAACAGGTGGTGTGGCACCGCAAATTTGATTGGCCGGATGTTAGAACGGTCGACACCAAGAAGTTAAGGTACTTTGTGTGCTACGAACAGCCGGGCGTGGTCGTGGGGATGCGCACTCAACGCAGTCAGTGTGTGATCAACGCACAAAACAAAATCGTGCGAACGCTAGAGAGGGAGTGTGGGGTGACGGTGCAGCCGATTACGTTTAACGGGTTCAAAAAGTGCTTCGATATCTGGGCGGCCATGCTGGGTACGGCTAATGCCAAGACACCGTTCAAGGGTATCATATCACAGGGCAAGGACACTATCAGCCCGTTCTGGGAGCTGTTGAAGTGGGTAGTCACCTGGGGACGCGCCTCTGACCACACACTGCCGGCGATTGGACTGGCGTGTGCAGAGGTGTTTAATGACTTGGACCCTAAGCGGAAAGAGGTGAGTAAGTATGGTGGTTTGTTGTTAAATAGAAAGAGGTGAGTAAGTATGGTGGTGTGTGGTTAAATAGAAAGAGGTGAGTAAGTATGGTGGTGTGTGGTTGAAAAGAAAGAGGTGAGTAAGTATATGGAGGTGTGTTGTTGAATAGAAAGAGGTGAGTAAGTATAGTGCTGTGTAATTGTAAATAAAGAGTTGAGTAAGCTTGGTGCTGTGTGGTTGATGGTGTGTTTGTATTGCATTGTCATTCTATTGGCCTCCAAGCACCAACCGACCAATCTACCGTCAGCGTGGTACCTTACGCTAACGCGGTGTGTGGTGTGTGTGGTGGTGTTTAATTATGTGGCAGTGTGTGTCTTGCCAAGCGTTTCTGAACCGAAACATGTGGTATGCCTATAGTGTGTGTGTCGCAACAGGGTTGCTGTGATCTGACTCAGCTGCAGCGTACATGTGGCCCATACAGACAATGTGGTTTGATGGCCTGCATTATGGTTTGTATTCTTGGTTTTTGTGTGTGATTAGAGGTTGTAGATAGTGGTTTGGTGTTGACATCACACACGTTTCTGCTTCATAGCATTTTCTGTCTGGCCTTATGAGAGCTGGATCGCATCCACAGGTACATCCTCACGTACAGCTATATAATCTCTTGGGCCTTTTGTGCGTGCGGATAAACCATAAACCCTAATTGGCTGGCGACCGTGTCATCTGCCCACAGCAATGAGTCCCTACCGGCCCCTTCCACTCTATTCCTGATGCGTGTTGGGTATTCACTTCATCACGCAGTGGTTTGCTACACCACCATAGCTTACTAACCCACGCAATGTTCTCGATTCGTCATCCGTAGTATGTTATACTGGTTTGTAATGGTATATCTAGATGTTCATAGGCTGGTATATTCGCTACCGTGAGATGTCTACGCTGGGCCTGCCAGCTGCGTGGCAAGCGCAGGACTTTGTAGCGGCCGTGCAATTGCCATCTCTTCCACCAAATAACATTACTCTAAACCATTGCATCTTTTGCAATACAATATACCATTGTTATAAACCATTACATACTTTGCAATATAATATATTATTACATACTTTGCAATAAAATATACCATAATTATAAACCATTACATACTTCGCAATACAATATAGAACTATTCTACCCCACTAAATACTGCCCAATACAAAATACAACTATTCTATCCCACTACATACCTCACAGTACAATATATACCATTGTTCTAAACGACTACATACTCCACAATACAACTCGCCATTATTCTAACCCTCTTATTGCTTCGCACTGATTCCCTCCTCTCTCAGGAAATGATCAAATTGGGTGAAGAACTGCGGGATGAAATCAACGCTGTTTTGGGTGACGATGGCGTAATGGTGTTCCAAAGCTTACCTACACCAGCCGCACGGCATGGGGCTCTGCCGAATCTGCTGTACTTTGCCGACTATGCGACTTGGTATGTATATGATGGAAAACCTAATTAAGGAATATACATGTGTGTGTATATATATATATATATATATATATATATATGTATA